TTTTAGGGTAGCAAACATGTGAACACTATAGAGATGGAAAGAATATTGACAATATTTGGGAAACAGTAAAAAAACAAACACAAAACCCTGATGAAAGGAATCCCGCACTGAAGACTATCATTGCAATTCAGGCCTTGTTGTTGTTGTGTGGCTTCAAGTCATTTTCGACTTATGGAGAGCCTAAGGCAATGTCTTCTGAAGCTAAGAATGTGTCACTTCCTAAGGTCACGCGGCTGAATGGGGATTCGAACCCTGGTCTCCAGAGTCATAGTCCAACTTTCAAACCACTATGCCATGCTGTCTCCAGTTCAGGCCTTACTCTGTGCAAAATTTGCACATGGTTCTTTTGTGTAGAAAACAGCATTTTCTGTGCAAAGATATTATTTTCTGCATGGAGAAAGCTAGGTTTGGCACACACACCCAACCAATCACACATGTGAATTTTAGGCAAAATAAGTCCTAAATTGTGAACAGTCTTCCAAAACAGTACAGTTTTCAAAGACTTTCTCACAGCAGGACGAAATGTGCTAAAATTATTCACTGGTTCCTTTGAGAATTAAATTAGTGATGGATTACATCCACAGTGAACACCTTGCCTTAAACATTTTATTCATTATTTATCTTTCCCAATTTTTCCAGGGGGGAAAGAAAGGCCTTAGAAAGAAGGAGGGAAAGTCCCCCTTCAATTTTTCCTGCCCTCCCTTTGGCCTTCAAATGTCTATTCCTGGCCCCAGATTGGGACCTTTGTAGGCAATCCATCCACAGATAGCGATTTTGTGCAAACTCCTATTTGTTCTTAGCTACCTGGAAAACAAAATCACCTAGTTTGTCTCCTCTCATGCTATTTTACTAGGCTGGGTTCTTTCTGCTACAAGATTCCCTATAAATCTTGGTAAATTAACTGACCTGACTTTGTCCAAAGGCTTGCATACAACCAGCTGCCTTGCTTATAATAAGTAAGACGACTTGGGTTACGCAGAAGAAAAGCAGACATTTGGCACTTGGGATAATGGGTGCCAAACTGATGCAAATCTCTACGATTTCAACATGATGACATTTTACAGTAGATAAAAATCTGTTAAAATTGCAACCTTCTTCACTTTCCTGCTATTTAACAAGTGGACGGTTCCTTCTACTTTTGCTTGGAATGAGCAAAAAACTTTAAAATGGGGCACGTATGTTCTCATGCCTCAATTTCCACCTGACCCTTCCAGAATGCATCTTCACAAAGCCAATTCATTCACCCCAGGATTACTTTGTGAGGAGTGACCATCAGCCCTTGGGGATGGAGGTTTCCACTGTAGTCAAGAGATCAAATTGATTATGGACATGGGCCGGCTGTCCAACAGGAGTTGCTGGGAGCAAACAAATCGAAATGGTCTATTTCACAAGATAGATCAGCCTTGCATGTGGCCCCCAATGCAGTTTGTCTGGTCTTTGACCTTTCTAGCTTCTTCTGGGGGAAAAGGAGAGACAGGTAAGAAGTGGCATCACTAGGGTTGGTGTTACCCGGTGTGGTAACTATGAACTGGAAAGGGTTTCCGGATGGTGATGGCAACAGCAGAGTAGCCCTTGACTCCCGCTGTCTTTCTGTCCACTTGGCCAGACCCAGAAAGACCTGGGAAGCAGGACAGTGGACTGTCCCTTTCCTCCCACTGCCTCACCCGCCCAACCACTCAGAAAGACCCAGGTGGCTGACCGATTGGGCAGGAGGGCGAGGAAGGGTGAGCAGTGCAACGCTGTGCAATGGCGACATCCTCTCCTCTTCCATGCCATTCTCTGCCCCCTTTTGCAAAGGTGCTGTCATGGGCCAGGAGGAAGAGTCTGATGAGGAGGCAACATTAGGAGGAACCTCCTGATAGTGAGAGCTGTTCAACGCTTTGGAGAGTGGTGGAGTCTCCCTCTTTGGAGGTCTTTAAACAGAGGCTGGATGGCCATCTGTCGGGGATGCTTTGATTTTGAGTTCCTGCATGGCAGAATGGGGTTGGACTAGATGGCCTTGGGGTCTCTTCCAACTCTAGGATTCTATGATCCTATGAAATCTTCCTGACAGCCTGAAGCTCTCCCTGTTGCAGAGTAGCCTCAGTCAGCAAGACAAAGGCCAGAGTCACCTTCGGATGAGGCAGAGGACCCAGCTGGGGTTTTAAGTCCACAATCAAGGAGATGGGACAAAAGGCTAGAACAAAGGCACTCAGCCGGGTTATGGGCCCAGCAGCAACAGAGAAGCTCTGATTAGAATCCACTGGTGTCAGGCCATTTAAGAGCTGAGTCTGGCTAAGGCATGTGCTGGAAGCAACTTGTCTGTTTCCTGGCCAGCATTCCTATCCCTGATCCCTGTTTCCAGACTCCTGCACTTCATACTTTGAACTTCCTGGCTTCTGCAACTCTTGGACCATGTTGACCTTGATTCTTGTTGCCTCCCTTGACTGGGACTGCTTGATGAACCCCATTCTCATAAGGGACTCCCACAGGCAAGGATGCTTTTTAGCTGCCTCCGCCTGCACTATCAGTTGATGGCCCCCTCCCAGCTATCCCGGGTCAGTGTTTGGTGAATAAGGACAGGTGCCCTGGTGTGCGTGTGTGTGTGTGTGTGTGTGTGTGTGTGTTGAGATGGATGATGAGTGACTGCCCCCACTGGGTATTCACCCCCTTCTGAGCTGGTCTGTACCCCCTGCGCCCCATAGTGACTCCCCTGCAGGTAAGCTCCATGTACAAAGACATACTTCTCCGAATTTATACCTGCCTGGGCATTGAGGTCTGTTGGAATGGCCTTCCTCTGTGTGCCACATTTGGAAGGGCCCGGGAGCAGAGGTCTTCTCACCCGGATTATGGAACACCTTCCCCTTACAGGTCCAACTGGCACCAACACTGCGGTCATTCCTATGCCAGGTTGAAACAAAGCTTTTTATTAATGTCTCTGGGGCTGAATAGGTTGTATCTATTTTGCACATGTGTTATGGCTTACATCATTTTCTATTATTTTCACTGGTTTTAAACTGTCTTGGTTTAAGTGTCAAATGGCTTAATAAACTTGTAATCTCTTAAACTTGATTGGGAGTTCCTGCATGGCAGAGGATTGGACTGGATGGCCCTTGTGGTCTCTTCCAACTCTATGATTCTATGATTATTCATATTGTTCTAAACTCAGACTGATTTTTATTGTGTGCCATCTCAAGATCCACAGAAATCAAGTAGGATATAATCAAAGATTTAGAAACCAAGCCTTAGGAAGATTGGCTTAGGTTTGGTTTCCAAACTTTTATTATCTTACCTAATTTCTGAGGTTTAGCTTGGAGAGGAAAAGGCTGCCATCTTTAAATATCTGAAGGGATGTCATATAGAAAATGGAGTGAGCTTTCTTTCTGCTGCTCCAGAGACTAGGGACGCAGCCGTACAGCAGAAATAAACCAGTTTCACACCACTTTAACTGCCATCGCTCAATGCTATGGGATTCTGGGAATTGCAGTTTGTTGAGCCCCCTGACAGAGAATAATCCAGTTTCACACCACTTTAGCTGTCATGGCTCAATGCTATGGACTTCTGGGAACTGTAGCTTTGTGAGACATTTAGCATTCTCTGTCAGAGAGCTCTGGCGCCACAGCAAACTACAATTCCCAGAACCCCATAGTATTGAGCCATGGCAATTCGATGTCAAACTGGAATATTTTTACAGTGCAGATGCATCCTAAAATTCTGAGTCAAGAAAACTGGATTAAGAAAAGACTGCTAAGGATGGCTGATGGATGTGGCTGGGAGGGCAGATCCATGCTTTGTTTTGAGGGACCACTATACCTCCTTCCTTCCATTTGCTCCAAGGAGAAACCTTGGCAGA